CTGGACAAAGGAAGCGACAGAAAGAGATATGTACTCGCTCTCGCTCTCTCTCTCTCTCTTTCCCTCTATCTGTCGTTTGCTGTTTCAGTTGTTGGAAAACCGTTTTTGCCGTTAGTTCCTTAATGTACTTACTTGAAGCGTAATGTCATTACGCATACGCACCGTTTGCTAATTACACGAAACATGTTTCTTTCCGGAGGCGAAACTTCTCCGAGAGCTTGCTGAAAATTCTATAGGAAAACTTGCCCTACAAAAACTTTTCTTATCGCCTGCCAAGAAAAGATAAAAGTTTCCTGCGAACAGCAGATGCCTGATTCTGACTTCGCTTCTGAGGAACTGTCACAGTCCTCAGCCCTTTGTTCTCAGGCTCTCATTTCCATATATATCTACTTACGTCGATCTCTGAAGCTGAAGCTAAAAGAAGAGCACCCTTTACACACCTCAGACTCAGAAGTCAGGAGTCACCAAAGCTACAAATTTCAGAGGGTCGGGGTCACCGAAGTGTGCAAATCGTTGTAATGTGGAGAAAGACATTTAGATTTTGCTCAAAAACGAAGCTCAAGCGCAGGCACAATAATTATATGTACAGCCCAAAGAAGCAAATATACCGCAAACATATCAAAATGATACCAAATAAATACTAAATAAATTCCAAAAACTCAAGCAAAAGCAAGGCAAAGGAAAAAGAGTGGCGGGAGGGGAGGAAAGCACACAAAGCAAGGCATCATCATCAACATCGATATTTCTGGGGGGATTTTCTGGTTGGGGGAAGCTTTCTTTCGGTCGACGAAGGTCTTGGGGGGAGAGGGGGAAATAAAACACAATCGACAGTATTTTTGTTGGTTTTTCGTTTTTTGGTTTTTTTTTATAGAGAGAGGGTAGTTTTTCTCCGCTAAGGATTTTCAAAGTTTACTTTTTATTTAGAGAAGTTCCTTTAATGATAATCATACTTATGCTTTGGTTTTTCTTTGTTTTCGGTTTTTTGTTTTCTGTATTTGGTTTTTGGTTTTCCATTTGTTTAGTATTTTTTTTTGTTTGTTTTTGTTTTTTGTTAACAGCTAAATACATGTTCGTTTATATCATACTATTTTGAGTTTTCGTGTTTTTTTTTCTTTTTCGTTCATTCTGGTGAATTCTTCTTCCTCCTATTCCTTCCTCCTATGACTTTCGATCTTTCTTTTCGTGTAGTTTTGTCTTTTGTTTCTTGTTGTGTTGTTGTTGTTTGCTTTGCTGCGTTAAAATTCACTTACTAGCTAGATTTCATTTAGATTTTCCTTTGACTAAATTATAATTGTTTTGTTGGGTTGTTTTTCTTTGTTTTGTTTGGTTTTGTTTTTGGTTTCTTTGGTTTCTGGTTTAGCCTGTGGATGTTGTGTGGCACCGTGCTTTTGTTGTTTGTCTGAGTTCGCAATTCGACAAGTTTAAGAATCAATCATTTTATCGTTTATATATCGTAAGAATCGTAACCTATATGTCCAAATATCTTATCTGTTACGTGACTTACACCTAAAATTGTAACAATAAAGGTTTCTTTTATGTTTTTCCAATGAATATTTGAATACTTGCAATATATTGTTGTATCGATATCATATCATATCATATATATGTATATATAGTTAATGCTGGTTTAATCCATAATATTCTGGTATGCCATATAATATTTAAACGCTTTTCAATGAACTGTAACATCAACTTACGGCCTAGAGAATCGTGTGTTCTTTATATTTAATTAGTTTTTTGTTCATAATTTTTTCCCGGCATTCGCCCCAAAGGTCTGCTCATGGCAGAACCTTCTGTCTATCGAACCGTTTGGCACCTGTTTGCGCGTCTCACCCACCGACCTTTCGAGAGTTTAATTGAAATCTCGAGTCGATAAGTGATCTATCGACCTACTTCTTTCGATCAATTAAGAATTGTCTTTCTGATTATTTACTTTAACATTTATATATAGTTTGTAACTTGCTGGAAAAATTACTAAAATGTACCATTTCTCTTTCTTTTCACTTCACTTCGCTCCTCGAATGACTTTCCCATATTTAATTGTATTTATTTGGAATGTTAATTAACGATTTGTTCGATTAAATACTGACGAAAGTGCGAGTACATTTTGGGGAGCGACTGTTCGAGCGGTGTTCATGGCACAGACTCAGTCGAGGCCTCGTGGAAATCGTATGACATGGACATCATCGAAGGAGACTTCTCTTCTCAAAAAAGATCAATCCTTTGGCCGACTGTTCACTCGCTCAATTTTGGTGGCACCCTCACACCCGTTTCGCCGGGACTCCGTGCCCGGCTACTCGGCGTGCTTAGTGCTCTCTTGAGCGGCGTGTACAGTCGGACCCCGGAAAACTACTATCTGGAACTCTTTTAAACGCTTCTCAGCCTGCGAGCCTGAGCCTGTGGCACGACACTCGATGACACTCTTGAGTACAACACTATACACATATATATATTCGTAGATTCATATAATTTGATTTGATTTCAACTTTCAATAAACAGACGTTAGCCGTCAAGCTGGATACGGAACATGCAGCGCTGATGCCAGACATGTTCCCTATGCCACAACGGTCTCCTGTCTGTGAGGTCTGGCAATGTCGCTGGATTGCAGCGAGTCATTGACAGCCCTCGGGCCTTTTTGATTATATCGTTATTTCATCGTCGTCTTTTCCAAACATCAATTAGTTATACATATAATATTTTTGTAACCACCAATACCTTAATTTAGTTTTTGTGTATCTGCTTTTGCATCTGCTTAGAGATGGAAACACTTTTGTTGGGTTGTTGCATCGTTCTTTCTGGTAGCTGGATGCAACTTTGTGCTTCCATCAAAGGTGTGTGTTTCGATGTAGCCTCGCTTCGCTTCGGTTTTCCCAGAGCTCTCGTATGATTGCAGAGTGTTTCCTTCTTAAAATTTACCACTAAATATGGGTTTTTCTATTGTTTGTTTACTTTTTTGCTCCTCGCTAGGAGCACTCGCTCCATTCCGTCCTCATCATCGTTCATCTGCTTCTCGTTTCTCGCTTCTCGGTGAAGTGTTTCCTTAATTATTTGGTGATTTTGCTTCTCTTCTGCATCTTCGTTTCGTTTGCTGCTTATTTTGTAGGTTGTTTACCTGTCGGTATCTCTGTTTTCTGGTGTCTTTTGGGGTCTTTTGCGCGACTTACTTAATCGTATAATTAATTTTACGCTCTCTGCTGAATTTTCTCTACGTTTGTTTGTTCCTCAACTTAAGATTAACATTAAATGTGCTATATATTTTGGATTATTTCATAGGTTCTTCTCCCAAGGGGTATTCCCCCGTCGAATGTTTCCTTAACTATATTTCACTTCGCACTATTTTCATCATGGGGCAACCTCAGTGGTAGCCTCGTTATGTGGAATGTGTGTCTGTGGAATGTCTGTGTATTTGGTGTGTTCTGATTGTTGTCTTTTCTTTTCTAATGCTGAAATCATATATCATCCCTAAGTTGTAAATGGAAATCATATTCGCGTAGCGATAAGCAGAACTTAGTATTTTATTAAACGTAAACGATTTTCACTATATATTTTCTCGATTAGCTGAACAGCGCCTTATTTTGTTTGTTGTTGTTGGTCGGCCCCTGGGGCACGCCCTCTCAATATCGTATATACTCGTAATAATAGTTAATAATATAATATAATATAGTTTTCCTCTTGTTTGTTCTTGTTTCAAGTCCATTTTGCAGTTTCGCATTTAAACATATAAAGTTTCAGCTGACTTTTTGGATTTTTCACTAAAATATTTCTCGCTAATCGTTTTGTTATTTGTTTTTTCAACTATGATCCATATACTCGTATAAATATCGTGGGTTCTTCTACTACGTCAATTAGTTTTTAGTATCTTTCGTGTTTAATTGTTGTGTGTTGTTTGTTTGTTTGTTTGTTGTCTGTTGCGTATATAATAATTGTCGCTAGGTAATCATAAGTAACATATCTGTTAGAACTAAAGCTTAATCATCGATCGAGTAATCATCTACAGCGTCTGCCTTTAAATTTATAACTCTATAGTATGTATGTTGTATATAAAATTATATTATCCATAGTTTATATTTTATATTTTACGTTGAAAAACACAACTAAAACTTCTGTTTCGGTTAGCGTTTGCCTGGCTACCAAATAAATCAAAAAGCGCTACTCAAAATACGATTCTACTTCTCTTCTTTTTCTTTTCATTTGCTTTTGCTTTTGCTTTTTCTTTTGCTGTTGGGATAGTTTTAAGTTTAGTTTCAGTTTGGTTCTTAGGCAAGCTTAGGGCGGGGAAACCTTTGGATTAAAGTTCATAGTAGATCTTGTTCGGTTCTTCGGTTCTTCGGTTTCGCTGGTTAACATAAAATGGGATTTCTTTTTGGGGCGGGGGGGCGCTTCTAAGGCTTCTCTTCTACAGAATGATGGGTGGGTTACATTTATCGAGGCTTTGACATTTTTTCTTGTCTCATGATTGATATGATTGAGTTAGCGTTTTGTCGACAAGTGTGTGGACTATTTTGGTTTTTGGGTGGGCTTGGGATGATGATGGATGTGACGATTTATGTGGATTGCATTGGTGGAGTAGGTGTGGAAGAACAGAGGAAAATATATAGCGATATCAAAAGAAACTTCTAAGAATGTATATGGCATGCATTGGAACTGAAATAGCAATAACTGTAGTACTAGGGAACGATAGCTAGAAAAATAGATGAACGATAGAGAGAGAGAAAGAGAGAGGAAAAAAGAGAAAGACGAGCATAAGACGACGAGAGACAGAAACGAGTCGAGACGACAGAGCGGTCACAATGTGACGGGAGCGATCACGATACGATGATGAAACGAGTAGTGCGTGAGCAAAATGTAACGAGCAGCGAGAGCTCTCGCTATCATTTTATGTTGTTGTTGTTTTTGTAGGTTGTTGTTGCTGTTGTTGTTGTTGTTCTTAGAGTTTCTGCTCTCTCGGGATGGGTGGTTCTCTGTGTTACATTTGTAGATGATTTTGCTTTTGCTTTGACTATATTTTGCAGCCTAAGTTTTGATTAATTTTATTGAGATGAGTTTTGAAAGAGAGTTTGGGCATAATTTTTGATTCAACTTAAGCTTAGATCGATCTCATACCAAGCAACACCATTATCAGCACCGAATTGCGTGGCATCCTGCGTCGCCTCCTGTTCTTCTTCGCTCTGCTCCTTCGATCTCTCTGGCCCACATTAATGCCATCGCCTCCTCCGGTACGTCACCTGCTCGTCGACGATCCGCCAGAAGCGGGCGTTCAGCCAGAGGACCAGCAGCAGCAGCTGCATGAGCATCGGCCACTGCTGCAGCTCGTGCTGCGTGCGACGCTTCAGCTGTTGGAGGCGACTCGGGCGCCGGCTGCCGCCCGGGGCACAGTCCTCGGGGACATAGCTCAGATTGTAGTTGTAGTAGTAGTAATAGTTGTTGTTGTAATGCTGCTGCTGCTGCAGCTCTACGGGTATTATATCTAGGGAATCATCATTATGACGGAGGGGGGAGCCATCATCTCTATGGCTGCTACATCGATTGCTGTCTGTGGTAGGGTTTAAATATTGGTATTGTTGATCTGCTGTGGCTGTTGCAGTTGCAGTTGTTGGTCTTGAATGGGTTGTTGTTGTTACATTATTATTACTGATGTTATTTGGCTGGTTATCATAGGTTTTACGGTATTTCTGTGGTTTACGATAATATTACATGATAACGCATTTGCCTTTTTCAGCCCACGGATTGTTCTTCTTATCCGGAGCATTGATCAAAGGATCGTTCTTCTCATTCTCCTCGATGAACGATCGCATTCTGTTGGAACAAGGCAAAAGGTAAGTTATTAGATTATTGTTTTGTGATATGTATATATTTAAGGATGTGCAAAGACCAATTTCTAAGAAAATAAGTATCGAAAAACTCACAAAAAGTGAAGATTTTCCAGGAAGCCTCTGATTTTCCTGGAATATCTCTGTCTCCCCTACTGTAGGCTTATAAATTTTATCGCTTTCCCTTCAACTTATCCCATTTGAATGCCCAACATTTTCATTGGGTAATCTCATACTTTAAAGACCATAAAATGTGTAAGCTTTGCAGAGAAATCAAGACATTCGAAAGGTATAAATACACAGAAGGGTATCCATCCATCCATTCTTTCAGCCAGACCCGTACTTAAAGCTAAGCGGACATAAAGTTCTACCTCACGTCTGTGCAGAGAGCAGAGAGCAGGGTTTGGGAGGTCCTGGGTCGGGCAAAGGACAGCGGATTTTATGCTAATCCTCACGCAGATGGACATTAAAAATGTTTGAACGCTTTACACGCGCCACGAGCAAAAAAAAACTAACGTTCTGCTCCTCCCCTCCGCTCGGATAACCCCAATCTCAACGCCACGCCCTATTCCTCCGTTTGCATATAAATTTTCCGGCATAGCTGTTGTTGTTGCTGTTGTAATACACTTATCCTTTGGGGCCATAAAAATGGTTGTCCTGTCGTTTGCATTTGTCTTTCGCTTTATTCCTTGCTCTCTTCCTCCGACTGTCTGTCTGTCTGTCTGTCTGTCGTTCTGTATCTTTCTAGCAGTATCTCTCGGATCTTTCTGCTTTCGTTACTTCTGCCCAAGACAAAACATTTTGTACTTTTCCTCCTTCATTTTTTTTATTTTTGTTTTATTTTTCTGCAAATTTTGCAAGAATTTATTTATTTAAGGGGGTTCCTGGAGGACTGTGAGCTCTTCTGCGATAGACAGACGAAAAGACTGTTGTCGGAGGACGAGTTTTGCATTTCAATTTCCTCGTTGGAGGTTACTTTTGGGGAAGTTCTTCTGGCAGGGTCTTTCCCTTCCTTTCCACTTCCTTTCACTTTATTGTTAATATAAATTCTGGGAAGTTGCTTAATGAAAAGTGAACAAATTATATGAACAACTACTCGTATTTGGGGGAGAAACTTTTGAACGAAACAGATGTCTGGGAAATGAATCATGGCGAGAACTGGAATCTTTATCAATCATTTATTTATCTGTGGATTCAATAAGCGAACAAGTCCCTCCATTCCATGCATATGCAGATACTAGTATTGCCCGTGGCTATTGAGCTAACAATTTCCATAGCGATTGAATGATAAGTGCAGCAAGGGAAACCCCACCCCGTCACAGAGCGTGTATGTGTGTGGGTTCTCCTGCTTTTCATACGAGTATTTTCCTGTAAATACTTTCATGCTTCAAATGCTCGATTTCTGCACTTTCTCTGGCCAACGAAGCACTTGAATTGCGCAAAGCATACGATACGATATTCCAGATGAGGCCACATTCTGTGGCTTTGCTTATTATTTATTGGGCAAATATTGGCTCTCGTTGGCCAAATGTTGCAGCTCCCTAAAAGCATTTCTTGGCTGGAATATTATTTTATTTGGGCCATTCTGTGGGGGCTTTTATTTGACCGCAACAATTGCTTAACAAATTTGTGCGGTTTCTTTGGTGTTTTCGAAGAGCGTGTGGCTGTGTTTAAATATTCCATTGATTTCCATTAGGTAGGTATAGTTCTCTTATTTGTGGGTCTCTAAAAAGGCGTTGGCAGGAGGTACTCCTTCAAGTATTATCCACCGACTTGCCCATGGAAAGTAGTTCCCCCATAGTAGTCGAAAGATTCATACCATGTACATCCTTGTTGTTTGTTTTGAATTACCAAAGGCACAGCCCTCTTGGGGCGGGATGATTGTTGCTGCCTGATTCTGATTCTAGTTTCTGGTTTCCGGTCTGGTTCTCTGCTCTCTCAATTATCAAATGCCAAGGTGTATGCATGTGCCTGTAATGGGAGGTGGGCGTGGCATCTATGCATAATTTAACCTAACAAGACCTTGTCGTCTCCTCCGCCGACGTCCTTGGGGCTTCGGTGTCGTTATCCCCGCCCTTCCTGTGAGTGCTTGTGTGTGTGGTAGATTTTCTCTATTTCCTTGCTCATTTTCCGCATCAACAGAGCAAGAGGCAATGGAGAACCCCAGCCAGGGACAATTACTGCCTAAAACAATGCCTCAGTCGGGGGCACCATCCGCCTATCCCCCATACCTCATCCACCATCCGCCTATAGGCCCATCCCATCCCATGGGCTAATGGGCTTATAACTTTGCGGTTTCTGTGCCTCTCTGTGCCACACACAAACATTAAAATGAAAATCCACAAAGCTTAGGAATACTCGTATTCTCTGCTTTCGGCTCTCTTCTCTATTTTTTCGGGGCAAACAAAAGGCCAAGGGTTCTTGGGAAGGTTCGAGAGTTCGGTGTTCGGTGTTCGTTTTTCGGCTCGGCAGTCAAGGCCAGGTCGAGGCGTCGTAAACAAAGTGGTTATGATGACGTTGGATCTTTGGCAACCCTAAAGTATATTTAGCCAGAGTTTCCCCCTCCCTCTGCATGTCTGTCTCTCTTTTTGGCCCCCAAAGGTGAGCGAGCGTCCAGCTCCGCCCGTATCATTCTGCTAAGCGTCTGGGAAAGCGTTGCCTCACATGTATTTTTAATGAGAGCATTAGAGGAAAGTTTATCCGAAAATAGAAAGAGATAGAATAAAAGTGCATGACCCAAAGAGTATTAAATATCGAAAAGGGACGAGGATACAGTGGAGCTGAGGGACATAAACTTTTGTTCTTGAATAAATTTCGAGACTAAGAGTCTTTCAATTTAACTACTCGTAAGATACAAGAGATTTATGGAGAGATATGCAAACTACTTATCCCTAAAATACAAAGTGGGCATTATATTCTCTTTCTCATAAATTCGCATGATATCATTAGCATCTGTGAAGAGTTTTTCTCGTTTTCTGCAACTTTTCTCATAACTGGGGAGGGTAATGGCAATGGATACGAGAGTAAAAGTACATGAAATGCCAGAGGGACATGGAAAAACTTTTATTCGACATCTGCATTTAATTTGAGCACTCAAATCCGACATCAAGGCAAACCCTGCAACCGTGAAAGGCAAAGAGTGAAGAGTAAAGGTAAGAGTGCTCTCCAACTGCCATTCAGCGGCGAACACATTGAAAACTAATTCAGAAATCGTTAATTTCATATGTGGAGCCAGAGAGCGCCAGAGAGGGCCAGAGACCGACTTCCATTCGCACCGCAGTGCCGCAAGGCCATGTGGCCACCGCTGTGCTTTTATGGGCTAATTGAATAGCTTTCCTCCAGTCAGAGTCGGAGTCAGAGTCAGGGCCAGACGTCAGGGGCGTAGACAAGAACCCCAGAGTGGGATTCCCATTAACTCCGCCTCTGCACTCCATAATTGTAGAAGCTTACTTCAGACGAAATGAAAGTCATTTGGACGCATTTCCTCAACAGCAAGAACAACACCATTATCAAGTCTGACAACATTTTGCTTTTAGGGTTAGATGAATTAATGTTTTGTGGGATGTCTAAGGGATGGAACCGAACAGGATGTCGGAGTACAAGTCGAGAGATGAAGATGGAACTTAACAAAGACAAATATGTAGTATATCAAATGAAAACATGAGGAATATCGTTCCTGTGTCTTTCATTGTTGTTAATCAAATCTCCATTCGATTCACGCAAATCTCCCATCGTTTGCTTTAATGAAGTAATTTTTTGTTTGTATCTGGCTCAATATTTATTTCCATTCAAAGGCCCCCATCAATCTGAGGACAAATGAATGGAGGGGGAGACACACGCACGCAATCGACTATATTTAAATGCCAAACCAACATTTGGCCCCATCCCCAAACTCCATTTCCATTCACTTCGAGCAGTCATTCCACCTTTCGAAGTCTGTTACCTTTTCCGGTCTGTCAGGCACACAAAAAACATAAACACGATGTAAATGTTGATTTATGACAACCGCACACCCGCACACACATGCGGACAAGCACTCTGCTACACTCACACAGATACGCTCGCAATCACACGCACTCTTAAGCGCCGGGAACCATGGCACACAGAAAAAGCAGCATTATTTATCGATGGCTGCCAGAGCAGCACCTCCGCAAGCGGGGCGGGCATTTAAAAGTATACTTATAGATACCTCAGATCCAGGAGCTGCTGCAAAATTAGAATTCCCTGCTCTGCCAAAAGCCGAGAGCTCAACAGAAACACTCATCCTCCTCCGCCTCCCATCCAACATAAATTTCATATTCAGCTTGGGTAAACAAAATGCCTCAGCCACATGTCAGGGTTTTTGCGTGTGTGCCTGCTTACCCTTGGGAGGGAGGGTATTACGATTTGGAGCAGATGTTTGCAATGCAACGACTCGGATACCCCATATACTACTCTTAACTCATCCAAGTTGATATGAATCGAATGATTTGAATGTTTCTTTAAGGGTATCCAAAGCTTCGACTTTCCACCTATCATTTGCCATCCACCGTTGTTTATCTTTGTCGCGCATGTGACAGAAATGAAGAGCTTAAAATTTCATTTCAAGCCTATTATAATTGTTTGCATAAACAACCCGAGACCCCCGAAAAACTGCTGTCTGCTCTGTTTCGGGCTACTTTTGTACACTGAACACACTGGAACACCGGTCTGTGGACGACCTTCGTCATAAACTAATTTCTAGCTCATTACACAGCCCGCTCTCTCTCTCATCGGTGGAGGTGTGTGTAGGTGTTGGTGTGGGGCGCGGCCTTCTGCTAAATTTAGCACACTTTTAAGCGGCACAGCAAGAAAAACACACAGAACCCAAGCAGAACAAAACCCCAAATGGCACTTGAAGCACTGCTGCTGTCGGGGCTGGGGCTGGGGCTGGGGCTGGGGCTGGGGCTGCTGCTTGCGAAAGAAGCCACCACCAGGGACAGACACAGACCCACAGAACATTGAGGGTCTTCCTCGTCAGCCATTTG